CTGGGCCTCTTTGCTTAGGCTGCTGCCCCCGCGACCCGGCCCCGGACAAAGCGGATGAAGATGGATGGATGGATGGAAGTGCTTAAAAAAGCATCATCAGGCCCCACAGCCAGATTTGAGATGTAAAAGAGGCAAATACACAGTGGGACTCATTATGTAGCCTCCCAACAGGAGATCATTGACACCACAAAGTGTGCGGTGTCTCTACCACCAGGCCCACAGTCTGACACAATGTGCAGAAGGAAGACTAGAAAGCCCCTACACTGACATGCAAAAACTCGTCTGTGTCTAACATTCGAAACACTGCCATACAGGATGTATTTGCAATGTAACTAGCAAACAGCTACCAATCAATAGCATATTGATTTGTTCTCTCATGCAAAAAAATACACATCAGTAACTTGCACAGAATGCAAGTTACTAGTTTTTGTATTCTTCACTGCCTTTGCTAGCACTCTGCTATAGTTTTTATGTATTACTATTGCAAACAGTAACCTGAAAGTCACAGCAGGACTGTGGCTATGGACAATAAAAACACATGGATTCAGCTTATAGGTTGTAAAAATAGATCCAACATCAAAGTGCCTTTTAACTTAATTCTGTCTAAAGGCCTCAAAATGGGAATGGGTCTATGGAAAGTATATAGGAAAACCGCTTTTTGACTTGACCTTTATATAAACACTCCCTCTCTAAATTTCTTACTTACTTTATTGGCTTAGTCACCATTTTGGGTCACACTGAATTAAAACAAATTGAGCCTATTTTGCAAGTCTCGGCCTTAGTCGTCCATTTTGAAACACACTATCTGTGGTAGGAAATTGTATGCTTATTGGCTAACAACTTGCCAGTATAAAGTTGTTAGCTTGTGAGCATGCAGTTTTCAGTCAGACTAGGGCCTCCTCGTCATGTAATTTATTTTCATTGTTTCCAACCAAGATGATGATGGCAGAAACTCCCATATTGAGGCTCCAAAACCGATGGGTAATATCACAGCACCTATACCCACCTTTTATACGGTCTATGATTTTGACTCCCATATAACAACCCATATAAATCCCATATAACAGGTTGTTCTTTAGAGATCGTAGCAGAAACTCAACAGGGTGCCTTTAATGACCCACCTGAAACTGAAAATCCTAAATCCTAAATGTGAAGAGGTACTAGATTATTTTGTGTAGCACATGTGGACTTTTAAGGCATATTGTGAAATATGAAAAATACAGTTTGCCTAATGTAGCACAATTTTATTTGTTTAAAGCATAACATGGGTGCCAATTTGTGTGACACTCTGCATGCGCTGCCATATATTACCATCCTTTGTTTTAGGCACTAGGTCTTACTTGACCAATGCACAACTGATCCAAAATCCAGAAGAATTGTTTACTTTGGGATGTGACAAAATTTTTTACCTTTTTGTAGGCAATTTTCTGGTAATAATTTAATTTTAAGGTTGTAGCTTTTTCTTTAAATGTAAATCATGGCTTCAGTATGACAGTTGATAGGAATGTGTCACAAAATGTATATTGTAAAATTTATTATATAAGAATTCTTTTTAATTACTGTATATGCACAGTATTAAATACTGCAAGTATTAATATTTTAAACAACAAAATCTTGATGCAACAGACAATTTTGTTTCCTTACTCTTTAAAGAATACAGTGTTTTTAAAAAGTCACTAGTCGTGAAGATGTTGTTTATAGGTATAACCTGCTCCTGAAAGGTGATTTATGAAATCTAGCTCATTCGTACATATACGTATATACTTTGTGAATAAACTGTGTTAACTTGTTTTCTCATTAGTGAAAATTCACTAGTCGCTTGCTAATGGACAGTTCTCTGAACCACTGTCTGGTGTTGCCGGGTCAATTGGGACTTATTTCAGGAATTTAAACTGCTGTTCCTTTTTTTTTTTTTTTTTTTTTTTTTTCCACATTGACTTTTTGAAGTTTTTAATCCTTTTATCTAGTCTGCTTCTCTTTATTTGCAGCTCCTCCTTAGTGAGTTGTATTGATTTAATAAAGGGAGCAGTAAGGTGTAATGGTTTCTGTCTTTCTTTCTTTTTGAACCATTTGTATTGCTTAACCAAAACTACTTCTTTTGCGATGTCTAATCCATAATCATCATCATTCCTGTGACCAGGAATGATACCACCAAAGTAAAAAGCATATTATCTGTAAAGTTTCTGAATTACTAAAACTAATAACTAGAAAGCTAATCAACCAAACTCAGCAACAAAAAAAATGGTAAAATGGTAAATGGCCTGTATTTATATAGCGCTTTACTAGTCCCTAA